AAATTTTTGGCTCAACTTTGACAGCTCATAACTCAAAAACAAATGATTTCCGACCCTATGTTTATATAAAAAATTTGTATTATTTTGGAAAGTATTACGTCCTAGTAAAGTTTCCCGATTAAAAAAGGAACCACCCTGTATATCACAGTTTTTCAAAATTTACTGAAAATAATGTAATGGTTGTTGAATTTAATGATGTGTTGGTTAGATCTCATTACATCAATTTTTTTGCATTTGAACCTGGGTGAGGTAAGATAAACAAACTGCATAATTCAATAGAATGGGATCCATAAACCGTAATTTAATTAAAATTTGTGTCAATTGCAAAAGGGAATAATTGTTCTACAGCAGCAGAAGAGGGCAATATTGAATTACATTTTACGAATTTTCCACTATTGTAATATTAGGTCTATAATCGTTTAGATATTTTATTATTTCGAATTCATATGTATTGGTTGTCCTTTGAAGAAAGTTTTTCTTTAAAGTTAAAAATTTTATCAACCCAACCCAAGTCGACAGCGGCCTGTAATATCGAAAATTGAGTATTTTTTTGTGGTAAATAATATTTGATCACCGTGTCACTGAACTTGTGCATTTTTTAATTTGGGAAAAGTAAGAAATTGAAGAAATCAATATTTAAAGATGATGTAAATTATTTTATCTACGACTGCTTGGATAAATCATCATTACCGCACTCATTTGAGGTGATTTGAGTTACGTAATGAAGTTCATTACCGCACTGGTTTCATTACGTAACGCATTTTTAGCCTAATCAGCACAGACTTAATTTATTGAAACGAGCAACAATACAAAAGAAAAAGTGCTATCTACTTACAGAGAAACAATACTATTTATTATAAACATTAATTGTTATGTTTTTACATTTCGAAATACTTATTCCAGATGAGTAAATATGGTGTTGAAACTGACAATTCAAAATTGTCAACAATCATTTCAAAATAGTTTTGTAAATATCAAATAGACTTTTCTAAAGAAATTGATTTTTTAGTAATTTTTAGCAGTCGTAGATAAAATGCTGTATATCACACGTGGGCTAGAGCATAATTACAGTACTCGTGTGATTACAGGGTTTAACACGGTTGGGATACATAGTCTGATCAACACTGTAATTTCCTAATGACTCCGTTTATCGAAAAATCACTTTACCTACATATTCTACACTGTATTTGGATGCAATTTATGTTTTTGGACTAGCTACAAGGGATGACCCCCTTAAAAACCCACTAAATCGGTGAACATAAATTGCCTCTGATGAATCACATGTAATCATATATACTCCATTGCAACTGAATTGAAAATGTAGGATCTTGCCTCATTAAGTCGGTCGCTTGCGGCCGAGGGGCTACAATTGATACCACACTAATAATAAATCAGATGAACATCGCCTTCGTCGCAAGTGACCTCCACTAAGCGTTCGTGACAAATGCATGACTATACCTGGTTAAGCCGAAGTCGAATGTACACACAAAAGCGCATTTTGACAAATCTAGTTTAACACTTTCGCGGACAGCGACTGCATATGCAGTCAATTAGTCCGTTTACGGGTGTACTATCGAAATCATAGTGTCCGCAAAAGTGTTGATGTCTATGATCATTAGTTGGTATTTGTCGTCGATTTTTTGCAGTAGGAAAACTTTCAATTGCTTATCTTCAAACATACACGCGTGTGAAGTTGGCCATAGAAAATTTTCCTAACCATTTCTTATATTTCGGAAAAATCAATTTTCTTCAAACATAAGCAAATGTCGACCTGTTCGGGGTTTCTAATCGATCCCATTTCAACGGCATTATATTCCTGGTCGCTTCTTGCTTCAGATCCAAAAAGAAAATTTTCCTAACCATTTCTTATATTCCGGGAAAATCGTTTTTCTTCAAACAACCGCAAATTTTGGCCTGTTCGGGGTTTCTAATTGCTCTAATTTCAACAGCATCGTATTCCTGGTCGCCTCTTGTTTCAGATCTAGAAAGAAAATTTTCCTAACCATTTCTCATATTCCGGGAAAATTGTTTTTCTTCAAACAATCGCAAATTTTGGCCTGTTCGGGGTTTTTAACCGATCTAATCTCAACGGCATCGTATTCCTGGTCGCACCTTGCTTCAGATCCAAAAAGAAAATTTTCCTAACCATTTCTTATATTCCCGGAAAATCCTTTTTGCTTCAAACAATCGCCAATCCAACAATCAATTGTTTATAATAAGTTTGTGCTTTTCTAGTTTCAATAGTCATTGGATAAAAAATAAAACTTGCTGATCTTCAATATTTGCTACCATTAGCATCCAATGACTACTATGTTGTAATATAGGGAAAAAATATTTTTGGAATTTGCTAATTGTTTTTGGTAAAAACCCGTTCATAATATTTTCTTCTTCTCCCTGACAAAATATTTTAATATTTTTATCCTTTGCAATATCTCAATGCATAATCAACGACTAAATTATCCAACCACATGTCTTGTTTGTTCATTTTGCAATTGATTGTATCAAAGCTTTGGTAGTAAAGCTTTTCGTTATTAAATTTTGCAACGACATAATTTTTTGATAATTTTTTTAGATTAGGAATTTGATTAATATAAGACGATTTTTTCGGCAGGTCTGTTTTAACTTTCTTTGAGTACGCCGCTTTTATGTGTGAATACGTCTATTTTTTTTGTTTTCCCCAAGATTCTTCAAATTCTTTTGCAGGCTATCATGCGCGCGTTGCACATTTAGTTCTTTTAATATTATATCTGACTTCGTTGTATTCACTTAGAACATAATTTCTGATTTTACGAATAAATCTGGTTGGTTTGTCTCTTAATTCATTTTGATTGAGAATATTGTCTTTAAAAATGTTGAACCAGTTTTCAACCAAATTGGTTTTAATAAACTTATCCACATCGGCACATATGGAACATGCTGTAAAAACTCTGTCCAAATTGACTTGAAAAATAATTGTTTTTCTTTAACTGTTATTAAATACTGATTGTAATTGTCGTGAATTTTCTTAAAGTAGTATATTATTTCTTTTTCGTAGTCTCCGGCGACTTACAGCCAATACATTTCATGTTACCAAAACATTTTTATGTATGTATGCCCGTGTTTTGTTAAACACTTCATCGAAGACTTACATTTCAAGCCCACCACTGTTTTCTTTAGGAAGAATACGATGCCGTTAAAATTAGAAATATAAGGAATGGTTAGGAAAATTTTCTTTTCGAATCTGAAGCAAGATGCCACCAGGAATACGATGCCGTTGAAATTAAATCGAATAAATACCCCGATCACGCATTTTTTTCACTTTAAAATCTATGGCTTAAATCTATGGTCAACTTCACACTCGTCAAACATACTTATAAACGTGGGGTGAGATATAATTGATATTAGAGACACAGTTTGTATGATAAATTTGACTCTGAACTTTCTTAGTTATAATGTTTGTCTTATAAACTGAATAAGATTTTGACGATGAAATAGATGAATTAAAAATATCACTGTATAGTAGATCCAAAAATACTTCTAAAAAAATATTATTTTGTTTTCTACTGAAAGAAGGTAACATTCTTAAAGTACCTTTTATGTAGTTTAAAGCATTTTTGATGAAGATTGGAGATAAACTACTTAAAGTAAAAAACAACTGAATACTTTATTTGCAGACATTTTCTCAGAATAAGTCATTAATTCGAAGATATTATCCATATGACGTCTTAACATCTTAACTTAAACCTGTCTTTTGAATCGTTCATAAACATTAAGTTATTTCCATCCTTTTAATCTCAATAATCTTATATGAACATTTATTATTAGCAACAACAAAAAATCAAAGTTAAAATCCATTAATATTCATTTATTATCACAGAATGGTGATAACAGAAACGTCCAAACTATTTAAAACTCGATAAACGGTAAACATTGACATTTTTCCCAACTTTACTCACGCTAAAGAAAAAGTTAAAAGTAAGATAACGCGAAAATTTAAATGGATTTCTGAAAACAAATGCGGTATGCATGTTCGGAATGCTTTCAATATCACGGCAAAGTTTGAAATTAAACGAAAACGATGACGTAAAAGTTTGTGCTGTTTTTTATACTTTTTATCCTATTGTGTGCAAGTGCGACGCGTAGAGATCCGCCCAGAAGCAGATTTCACGTAACGATAAAACGACTACGTTGTTGTTGTTACACCGATTAATTTACAGAAGGATTAGTGAAATTAGCAGACACGTAGACGGTTGCGGGACTTATTTGTGTATTTATCTCAATGAACATATGAATGAACTCATTTTTTTTTGCGTTAAAAGGAATAACAAGTATTGATAAATACGTTTAAATTAATTAGAATTTTGATAATTTTGTAATTACAATTTCTGTAGCTTTTATAAAACTTTTACGTCATTTGCTTTATAAATAAATGAAAATTGTTGCATGGGAAAACAACGTAAACATTAAATAACTTTAAAAATTTCTAATTTACTCTAAACTATAAAAGTTTAATTTTAATTTTCTTCGATCTATAGTCTATAAAGTAAATTTACGCATAATAATTTTTCGTTATTTAACCTTTATTAAAGTAGCAAAGGGATTACTTAACAACAACATTCCCGAGTCTGTAAACAAATGACGTTCGATAACGTCTAAATTATTCAACAATGCCTCCACAACTCCGCTAACACACAAGCTTTAACCAAGTTGGTGGTTTTCCGTTCGATTCCGCGCTCTTTCGTCGCAAAGATTCCTCATTGGCAGCGGTTAAAACCGCGTGCGGTCGTTATTTTTATATTTTTTTTTTCTCGTGAGCGTCACACATTTTACGTATTTCCTTCGCGGAAACGGTGGTGTTAAAAAACGGCAATGAAATACGACTTCTCTGATATCTCGGACGTTTTGAATACTCGTGCAGCGGTGATATTTATTTTTTTTTGTGACGATTTTAGTATTTGCGTCGACTAGACTCTCAGCTAATCAAATTACGAGCGCTTCATTTTTCGCATTTTTCTTAATAGGATCACGAAGAAGCCCTACCTGATGCCGTATATACATAGCGGCTTGTAAGCCGAAATCTGTCAGTACGTGTTTCCGGTCATCGAGGAAATCACCGTCGTTCAGACCAGGACTATCTTTTAAAGAAGAAAAATGGTTAATAATTTTCGAGTTTTTAAGAAGAGCTCTCCAAATGGAAAACTTACATTATATTTGGGCAAAAGAGACTTTGTTGATCACATATCCGGTGTAGAACCAATAGGTAAGTTTTATTTTATTTTTTTATATCCTTATCTATATATCTCGAATTATCCTCTAAGTCGAATAATTTTCGTAAGCTCAAGCTTTTGACTAAGCTTCAAATGTGTTTAAATGTGTTTCTCTAACTCGAATTTTTCATAACTCGAAGTTTTCTTCCGCTCCCTTAGTGATTCGAGTTACGGGAATTTCACTGTGTATATTAATTAAATAATGCACTTTTACGTAAATTAAATTGATCCTACTCAAAGTCTGAAACCCACCTTCCCTGTACAAATACAGTAAAGTAATGTAATACGTTATTATAAATTTATATTATGCAGTATGTTTATATTGTATACATTGTTGTATTTTACGTGAAGATTTGCGACATATTTTATATTTTTCGCTATGCAATTTTGGGTTGAAACCTATGCGTTCGCAAATCCTCCTGCAAAGCACATAAATGTGTGACTTCTATAATTTAATTCAGTTCTTATTGACTTAAAATGATGTAGTTTTAAAAAAGTGGTTGTCAACACGTAATAATTAGGAGAATACATTTTTCTATTTCTTATCTTTAGTTTTATACAAGAAGTCTGTACATTAGCAGGAGTTCTGAACTATAAGTTATTTTCTGAAAAGAAAACGCATTTTTGTGTGTAACAATTTTTATACAATTACGATATAATATAAACGAAGGAAGAGAATTTACTAGGAGTTAGATATTTTTATGAACTTATCATGGCGACTTAAGACCATGAGATGTACGGACGAGGCTTATGTCCAACAGTAGACATGAAATTGAAATTGAAAATTAGTCTTTTTTTTCCGATTTACTATTATTTTATCAGATTTGAACCTTGTAAAAGCAAATCGTTTTTCAGCTCCTTTATTACTTGATTTGTTGTGAAAATAAAATGAAATGGATCACAGCGTGATCACGCCGTGTGGCCCTGCCTACTCCTTTGCATAGATTTCTCAGTATTGACATTTATTCTTGTTTTTAGAAGTTTCCTATTTTCATCCAAATTCTCTGGCAGCTTTAATGAAATTTTTGTTTTTTCTCCAAGCACTAAGTTGTTACGATTTATAAACCTTCCACGCTGACTTGGAGATGCCTCGAAATTAACACTTAGTTCTTGGTTACATTTTCTCCGTTTTCAGCTATTAGTATAATAGCCGTTGAATTAATAATAGGCAAGTAAACTTCCTTGCGGATTTCCAGATCCAATTTGAAATAGGGTTGAGTACTTATTATCCTGTCGCACTAAAATGAATCTATTTTTTAAGTATGAGTCCAGAACAATAGACTTGTTATGCGGTAGCTAAAGGCTTGAGAAACATCCAAGAAGACAGCAGTGCAACACTTTTTTATTCTCCAACGTATCTCACACAGTTCTTGCGACCCTATGAATCTCTTTCACAGTGCCATGTTGTGCTCTAAAGCCAAACAGGTAATCTGATATTAACTTCTTCCTGAATAGAGTATCCTGTAGTCTACTCAACAGAACGTCGCATTAGCTTGGTCTTTATTCCCTGGGAAAATAGCCCACTATTACCACAGCGTTGAAGATGTAAAGGATCTCTGTTGATTGGATGGTCCATTTACCGGGGAGCTGACATTGTTTCTTGAATAAGCTCGTGATGAACAACTGCTATTCTAGAATCTACTTTTTCTAGTTAGTTTCTGGTCTAAGTGCCGTCATTATTCCTTATAGCAAAATCTCATTGCTATCTCAACGGTAAATGCCATTATCATCGAACTTTAAAAAGATTGTAGGCTCACAGCAGTGTCGAATAAGTCAAACATTCACCTGGAAGCTCAATTTAATATCTTTATTAAAACTTAAAATGTTAATAAATGAGTTAAATAAACTGATTTTTTATTTCATATTTTCTTCATTGAAAAAATGTGATGCTATTATAAGTAGGTAGGTAAATATGACAGGATAAGCCAGTAGGTAACAAAAAGGTGCGTTTATGTAAAAAAACATTTTAAACCCTTCGGTCGATCTTGGCAAGAAATTTATATGAAAAGTCGATATTAGTCAAAAATTAGTGGACACCTGTACAGGATATACAGAGTGTCTTACGTAACTGGTTCGTAAAAAAAATTTTAAGTTTTCGTACAGTTTTGAATGTTTGGTAGCATTTGTTGTTCATTCAGAACTTTCGATCTAAAGTATTTTCACGATGGCCGCCACTGCCGATCTACCGGAAATAGACCATAACTTTGTTATTTTAATTGGAATCCTATAGTTTTTATTACACCTTTTAATTGTACGTAAAAAATATGTTGACTTTGATAAAAGTTATTGGTACCTAGCGTTTTTCGTTTTCGATTTATTTGGTTTTAAGTTTTTTTTTGGCAAATTTCATCATGCTCTTTAAAACGTCATATCCCAGCCAACGTTTATTCAAAAAAGCTTTAAATTGGCACGATTACTCTTCAGATACTATCAAATAGATTGTGATTTGTTGTATGAGAGTATCTTATACTGCGTGGTCAAAAATTGAATTACTGTTTCTCCATATTCAATGGCGAGAAAGTAGAAAATTTTAAATGGAACACCCCATATTTTTTTAGCCTACTAGAAAGGGAATTTAATTCTCTACAAATTATCTACAAACTCTATACTTTTTTATTGTAGTTTCGCTCGTATTGGGAAATTTATTAAAACATGACAACTCATGGTACCAAAATTTCAAATACGAATAATGGAACCTGAAAACTTCTAACGAATCAGTTACGTGAGACACCTGTATATTTCATATTGTTCTGAGTGTCTTCATTTCGGCAGATCTTATTATTTGTTTTGTTTTTGCTGTACCTGCTCATGTCTCCGTAGTATAAATAAGTCTTATACAGGGTGTCTCAGCGAGACCGGCCATTAGACTTTTCTGGGGTTCTGGCCAAACAAAAAGGTTGAGAATTCAAACTTAAGTTTGATAATACTTAAGTTTGAATATTACGTTCTCTTCATCTAAAATATTTTCCGATTTCTAGCACTTCTGGTTATACCGGAAGTCGCCACCTACTTCATTTTTTTAAATGGAACAACCTGTATATTTTTACATATTTGGATTTGTCTGTTTTGAAGGTTTATAAATAACTTTACTTTTTGCAATTTGATTCGGCCGTTCTCGAGTTATTCTATTTTTTCTAGAAAAATCTGCTCCAGCGGACATTTGTTCAAAAAATCATAAAACACTCGATTTTTGAGATATCGATTTAGGATTCAGAACATGCTTAAACAACATGATGGAGTATGTTTTGGTGCCGAGAACGGCTGTCTAGATCGTTTGGTCACTTTCGGCGTCTCATTTTACATCTTTTATATTCCATATGTCTTATGCTTAACATTAATAGTTTGAGAAATAATTAGGGTTTTTTTGTAAAATATTCACATATCATATCGATATTAACCTAGTGTGCCATGGAAAACAAATGTTTAATGACTTATTGACGAACGTCAAAGTTTGACTTAGGTTGTTTGATGCTTGTGAGTCTAAAACCAGTTAAAATGGATATTAATAAGGTAAATAATGTTTATACAAATGAAGAAATTGAAGTTCTTAGTAGAACTTGCAGAATGTTTAATGAAAATTATCCACATTTATCTCCGATGACAAAAGGTAAATTTAGAAGAATAGAAGCAAATTTTTTTCTTCTAACCAAAAAATGTAGTAGATAATGCAACGGAAGAGGTGAATACCTTGGCTTATTTCGAGCCCAGTCCCAACACCTCAATTCGAGCTGCCAAAGAAGATCTGGGTCATACTACGAACTTTGTCGCGCTTTTCATGCATAAAAAATAAATTAAGAATTTCTTGATTTGTGTAAATATTACTTTCGTTATTGTTATCGATTTTAACTCTTTTCAGTACTAATATTAAGGGACCTAACAGATAATTATTAGCTCACATGCATCAAGTGACGTAAACAAGTGAGTCTTTGACAAGAACTCATTGAGAAGGCTTGTTTTTCATGGCACACTAGGCTAAATATCCATATGATATGTGTGCATTTTTCAAAAAATCCTAATTATCTCTCAAACTATTAACATTAGGTAGGGGACATATGGGATATAAAAGATGTAGAATGAGACATCGAAGACGACTAAGAAATAAAATATTGGGGGTGCCATTTAAAAAAATGTAGGTATGGTACTTCCAAATTTTGAAAAGTTAACGTGCCATAGTAAAGTGACCAAACGTTCTAGACAACAGTTCTCGGCACCAAAACATACTCCATCATGTTGTTTAAGCATGTTCTCAATCCTAAATTGATATCCCAAAAATCGAGTGTTCTCTGATTTTTTGAACAAATGTCTGCTGGAGCAGATTTTTCTAGAAAAATTCGAATAACTCGAGAACGGTCGAATCAAATTGCAAAAAGGAAAGTTATTTATAAACCTTCAAAACAGACAAATTCAAATATGTAAAAATATACAGGGTGTTCCATTTAAAAAAATAAAGTTGGTGGCGACTTCCGGTATAATCGGAAGTGCAAGAAATCTGAAAATATTTTAGACGAAGAGTAATTGATAATACTTAAGTCTGAATTCTCAAATTTTTATTTTCGCCAGAACTCCAGAAACGTCTAATGACCGGTCTCGCTAAGACACCCTGTATATCCAGATATTTTATTTAGATTAGCTTTGATTACTTAATTTTTTCGGTCGATATCAACATATTGAACTCTATAGAAATGGTGGTAAACTTGTATAAAAGTCGTTGTAAATCGTCTTCGCTTCCCAATAGTAAAATAGTGTCATTCACATAGCACAGTATTTTATTTAATACGATTTCGCGTAATTTGTTTCTTGTATTTTATGGACAGCAAAATAAAAAAGGTTGGGAAACGTTGCTTTAAACGATAAGTTTAGAGATCTTATTAAATAAATAAATAAATAATACAATTCTAATTAGGTACCGCAACCCTCAGAGTGTTTAAAGTAGTTAATTTTTTAAAGATTTTTACTTAAGTTTTGATTTTCAATTTAAATCTCTTTTAAGTAG